ATAGAAATGAAGAGTCATGTTGTTTAGTGTATTGGTTTATTTTGCTTTAACGTATCTTAAACATTGAGTAGGAGGTAATATTTATTTAGGCGAAGGGTAAAATTTTAAGAATATTTTTGTAATTCAACTTTTAATTTAAATCCTTCCCACTTTTAATCTAGTATAAATAAATATAGATAATTCTCTAAGTGGGGAGTCTATTATTATTGTTAAACTCGGCTAAGAAGTCAATAAGTTCTTTAACAGACCCGTTTATCTTCTCTATCTCCATTGTTATTTAATTTTAAGATCTTTGAAAATTGTAGGATTTTCTACAGTGACGTCTTTGCTTGCGACTTTAAAGTTCTTCATTCTTTTCGTCCTTTTGAAAAATTGTAGATTTTCAATTAAACTTAAATAATTCCACAATGAAACGAGTAACTATTCACATCTGATCATATTAATTTTTAAAAATTCAAATGTTTCAGTCACATGCATTTCAAGTTAAACTCGTTGTTGTTGTCTCTGTCATTCCGCTCTGCATTGAGTTATTTTATCGGAAAGAGAAAAAGCTATACGTAATTTCATCTATTAAACTAAATGCAGGGTGTGTTTGGTACGGAGGAAAATGGTTTTTTTGTAACATGTTTTCTTTAAAAATAAGTGATTTTTTAATTAATTTTTTAGTGTTTGGTTAAGTAGTAAAAAAATATTTTTTAAAAATATAGAGTTTAGGCACACATTATAAGAGACGAAATGGGTAAGAGCGGGAAAAGGTGATAGGTCGGTGTCTGACAAACGAAGTGACGGTGTCAGTGTTAGGGGTAGCAGGGTGTTCGGGGTGGCGTGGGGTGGGGGTTGGAGGGTGAGGGTGGGGTGGAGGTAGAGGTGGAGGGTAAAGGTGGAAACATTGAGAAAGAGTTTTGAAAAACATGCAACTGTAATTATTGCATTCATTTTAAATAGTCATTATGTTTATGCAAAAGTACCTCTTCACTGGCTATGCGATAAATGATTCCCTAGTACTATTTACATATATGCGGTAAAAGTCTTAAATTCTACCAGGCCAGCAAGTTGCATGCTGTAGTTTGGTGTTTCACAGTCTCACTTTTAACCTCGGGTGTAAATAAACCAAATACTCTCGTCCTTATACTCCATTAGGGGTGTGCAAAAAAAAAATCGATAAATCATATCAAATTGATAATCCGAGTTAAATCAGGGGAAAAAAATCGATTGTGGTTTGATTTGATTTGATTTGGTTTGGTATTGAGAAAAACCTCTGACCATAATTGGTTTGGTTTGATTTTAACTAAAAAAAGTCAAATCGAAACCAAACCAACCTGATAATACATTTATTTAATTTTTAAAAATATTTTATACATATAAATATATATTGTAATGTAATTTATAAATATTTCTTAAACTTTTTCATATTTTTATCTTTTAACATATTATTTCAAGCTTAGACTTAACATTTTTGAACGATAAATAAATTTTATAGCTCATAAATGTAATAACTCAAACAAAGTTCAAATCAATATTAATGCTAACAAAAGAAATTCAATTCAATACAAGGGATGAGTTAGATGACGACAGTGTTGGATATATATTTTTTAGTTTTACATTGGTTTATAATAAAAATGCATAACTTAGTTTATCTTTTTCTTTAGTACTTAGTTATGTAATTAATAGTACTTATTAGCTATACTTATTTTAGCATAACTTATATATAGTATTTTTAAATTATGTTAATTTTTATTATGGCTTATTAATTAGCAATATTTGGCTTATGCAATTTTATTATATTTGTTATTGAATATTTTAGTATAATGCTATGACTTATCTCATATTATTGTGTTATTTCTTGAAAAATAAATTATATAGTTGTATCTTACTAGGACTAAAGAAATTTTTGGAGCACAAGTTGCATATTTTGTGCTATGAAGACTTTACCGGAAAAAAAAATCGAAAATCCAAAAAATCCGAGAAAAACCGAGATTGAAAAACCCAATTTTGTTGGTTTGGTTTGATTTATAGATTTAAAAATTCGACACCATTGGTTTGGTTTGGTAATTGAAAAATCCGAATCAGCCCGACCTATGTACACCTCTATCCTCCATTATTTACTGCCTTCCACAAACTAAAAAGAACGAGAAAGAAAAAAGAGATAAGAGACTGAAACACGATACTGCGTGTTGCTATAGGATTCTTGTCAGGTGTTTGTCTTGATTTCCTTATTATATTTAGTTTTTCTATCTCTTGAAGGAAAGGGCAACATATTTATTATATTGGATTTTCCTTTTTAGAAGGAAATTATAACTTTTTCATATTTGGCTAGTCCTTTTCCGGAAGGAAAAGGCTTGGAATTCTATAAATTGAAAATCTTTTTTTATCATTCAGTAGCATCTACAATGTAGCCACATGGGGCTTGAGAGTTTTGTTTAGGGGGAAAATTTCGGGATAAGTATTAACATGACACTTGTGTTTACCTCTTTGTGAGGTTATTCTCTCGATATATTGTACTCTCTTTTATATAATGAATTGTTCATCTCTGCCTATGAACGTAGGCCAATTGACCGGACCACGTTAAATACTTGTATTTTTTTGATATATTTTTTTTTGTCTGATTTATCGTTGTTCAAGATTTGCTTTACTAACTATAGCATGACACATTATGTCGATCCTAACAATTATGTGGCCCTTCATCAGAAGTTTTAAATTCAAGACTTTAGAATGAAAAAGATACCATACTGCGCGCAAGTAAAAGTCTACTAAGCTATACCTCAACCTCCATTTACACACGTCATACATTTGTTACATATGTTGTTCAAACTCTTAAGCAAATACATGGTTTTTCTATTTAAGGTTTTAGAGCACACAGCTACGACGTATACCACGAAGACAATTAAAAAAAGAGACAATAGAGGAAGACAGAGAATCAAGTAATCAAGCCAAGGAATCGCTTCTAGAGTTCAAGTTAGGAGAAATTGAGTTATTTCTAGTAGGGAATACTAAAATATTAAATATGACGTTAATTCAAATTAATCAAAGTATAGGCTAAAACACCAAATAATTAAAAAGATTAAAGAATGGCCAAGACATGATGAGATAGAGAATGATAAGACATGTTTCCTTTACTGAGGCATGATTCGATCTTAAATAGAATCAAGTCTATTTGGATTTATTAATAACTCAAATCAAAGATATAGAACATAATTTTATTGTTATATGGCCTTTGGTTATGGACTTATGGTCAACTTGCTTGTTTAAGAAAGAGCTGTGGTTCAATTAAACATTTTAATTTCAAAATATATCCATGCCAATATTTTCGAAGACGTTTGCAAATTGCAAAAAATCGTTTCTCTTTGTAATCCACCTCTTCTACCCTAAAACTTATTTTTTTTCTAAAATCAAAAGTATTTTTCACAAAATATTGCTCGACACGTGAAAAATTCTATAAAGGAACTTTCCAAAAAACTTTTTCCGGAAACTTTTTCAACACCAAATTCACAATGGCGGTCTAGGACTTCTTTATTATTTTATTTAAAAAGACAGATTACGTCCTAATTTTTTATTGGTAGCTTGAAACGTGTGTTTAAATTTCGAGGTAATCAATGACGAGCAAACATAGTACACTGTACAAGCAAGAAGCTTTAGTTTCAACCTACCCTTTCTGAACATGATAACGTTCTACTACTAACCAAGACGTAGCTAGCTCTGCATATTTTAGCAGTTTTTAACTTTTGTGTATTGATGCGTACAATTTTTACATCATTAACTTAGGTTACTCACATAAATATGCGTATTTTCCTATGGTAATTATTTAAATTTAATAACAAAAAATACAGTAAATGATCTGCTATAATCAGTTAGAAACACTAATTACATAAAATAAAAAAGGGTTCGTGTTTAAGTTCTTTGCAATGATGATGTCTAAATTATTTATATAATCAGATTATTTATTAAGTAATTATTAGTAAATCTTTTGATAAATATTAAGTAATTAATAATTTGGTAAAATTTGTAAGCTATACCTAGTATAACAATTTTAAATGGGGTATTATCACTTTTAACTCGCGCCAGAAACTATTTATATTTGGTAGCCGAAAGAGTGTATAAAACTTGTATAATTTTTGTATATAACATACATAATGTATATATATACAAAAAATATATAAATTTTATATATTTTTTCGGCTATTATTTTTACAGTGGTACACTATGTCATTTTTCCATTTAAAATTCACTGGTATAAAAAAAAACTTTACCCTAGTCGTTTGGTAGGGTGTATAATAATATACTGATTAAGGTGTATTAGCAATGGTGATATTAGTAATGATGAGATTAGTTATGCCGGAATTAGTTATATTGAAATTATTTCTTAGCGACTGTTTGGTTTGGTTTATTAAAAACAACATGCTTTGCATAATTTTTTGAAAAATTTGTTTGTTTACAAAAAATACCCTCCACATTCTTTGGAAATGATTTGAAAAAAGTTTTGAAAAGGTAATTCTATCTTTATAAATGCTAATCCATGTATTAAACACTATGGCATTGCTTGCTATAGTTTGCTATGTATAATAATAATAATACTAAATAGGATGTATAACTAATATAAGTATTAGTTATATATATGTTAAAAAATATTACCAAATAACAACGCCAACAACAAACAAACCCAATTTTTTTATAAAAAATAAATAAATAATGGATTAGTAATATCAAAACTAATACAAAAGAAATTCCCTAATACATCCTACCAAACGACCCTTAAGGTGTATAAAAATAGTATTGAATATAAAATATTAGTAATGCTGGAATTAGTTATATTAAAATTATTTCTTATTGATTGTTTGGTGCGATGTATTAAGGGCAATTTTGTCTTTATATATACTTATCCATCTATCAAAAAATCAGTGTAGTGATAATGTTATGGTTTGACACGTATAATTATTTTACCTAAGACATCCTACTAAACGCCCCCTAAGTGTATGATTTAAACCAAAAACTGTATAGTGCATGTATATAAGTTGCAATCATATTTCCCTCATCGTCCTTCTTCAACTATTCATCTCTCCTTTCCATCTCCATCATCACATCTAATGGAGTAATCTAAACAAAATTACTACCAAAAATGAATGAAGTAATTTTTCCCGCAACATCATCATTTTCTACACCAGCCTTAATTTCTCAAGAAAATCAGCCATCAACTCTTCAACAGAAGCTTAAATATATTCTCAATAGTCAAACAGATTCTTGGGCTTACACCATTTTCTGGCAAACTTCCAATGAAGATAACAATGGGAGCCTCCTCTTAACTTGGGGCGATGGCCATTTTCAGGGGACCAATAAAGACATAGAATGGTTCTACGTGTTGTCACTGGCTCAGTCTTATTCTGTTAATGAAGGGGTTATAGGAAAAGTTTTTAGTACTGCTACTTTTGTGTGGCTAACAGGGGCACAACAAGTTCAGTTTTGTAGCTGCGAAAGGGCTAAAGAAGCTCAGAACAATGGCGTTAAAACTCTAGTTTATGTTTCAATTTCAAATGGGGTGCTCGAATTGGGCTCGAGTGATATAATCAAAGAGGATTGGAGCTTGGTTCAACAAGTCAAGTCTCTGTTTTCTTCAGATCAAGAAAATGGTCCAATTTATAACTTTCTTGATCAAAATACCATTTATTTTGCTAATATTGATCTTGTCACCGGCTTGCAAGAAGATGGTCAAGAATCAGAGAACAACAGTAACAAAAATCAGGAATCAAAGCTGAAGAAATTCGAAGAGGTAGCCACAACAAGCCATGTTTCATTTCCAGATTCCGAGCTATCGGCTTCAGATTGTCAATTATTAGAACATCCGGTGCAGAAAAGCAGAGTTGGATCTAAGGTGGGTTCTGAAATTATTGCTTTCAACTCTCTCTCTCTCTCTCCATATACACATGGGACAGAACCAGCACATTGGTTGCGTGTTCAGCTGACCTAATAGTTTCGGTTCAAATCTTATATTTATATTAAAAAATTCATTAAATATGTAAAAATAATTAATTTAGAATTCAGTAACTTAAAAGAATTAGAATTCCTAATCCATAAATTCTAAATCTTGGCTTCACAACTCATTGAACAATGACTTCCGACTATAAAAGAGAGAAATCATTTTTCTCGTTTTGATGAAAAATGTTTTCTATGGAGAACTCTTATAACCAAACGCCACACGCCACATATGACTTCCTCATGAAAAATATATTTTTAAAAATTAAATGACTTTAGTCACATCAAACATGTTCAAGAAATAATTCATTCTGAACTTCTGAAACTTACGAATTCGCGTTGCAGAAAAGGACCTACAAGAAAAGGGGAAGAAAGCCAGGAGAAGATTGCGACAAGCAAATGAACCACGTAGAGGTGGAGAGGCAGAGGAGGGAGAAACTCAACCACCGATTCTACGCGTTGCGCTCGGTGGTTCCGCAGGTTACAAGAATGGACAAAGCCTCATTGCTATCAGACGCTGTGGCCTATATCAATGAACTCAAAGCCAAAGTGGATAAATTGGAGTCAAAACTTCATAGAAACTTGGAGCTCAAGAAGAAACTGCAAATGGAATCCAATGATGCTGTGGACAACCAAAGCTCTACCAATTCGGTTGATCATGTAAGCCCTTCTCCAGTTTGAAAATAGACTAAAACTACGTATTTTTATACAAATAGTCCGACGGATTCTTAATTTACTTTTTCTAGCCAGTATACATAAATTATACATATATTATGCATCTGTAGACTACTTTTAGTATCAAGAATCGATGAAAAAGAAAAACCTAAGCAAGAGAAAAATGTTTTGACACGTAAATAATCATTATTTTTAAATAAATATTGCATGTATATTCTTTAGGATATTATATATAGCAAGTCTTTTCAGAACATAGTTAACAAAGGCACTAATTAACTTAATCACTTTTTAACTGTGTTTTAAAAAGTATTTCTGGGGCGAGTCTCGGGTCGAGGGATAGCAAAAACGCATCGAAATGATTTGGGGGTAAAGTATCGCGAGACGTTAGCCCCATTATTCTAGGTGTACGCCTAGTCGTTGAGCGAGTTTTTGCTTTGGGGCATAAGCCCCAAAAACCTCCTCGAGTTAGAAATAAAATTGCTAAAAAACACAAATATCTGCTTGTTATTAAATTCTAAAATATTTAAACTTAAAAGTCAAAAGATTTTTTTTTATCTTAGCCCTAATTTTTATTCTTTCTCTTCGCGTTCTATTGGGTAAAGGAAAAAATCAATTTGCAACTTTCTTTTCAAACTCTTTTGCTCTTTCAAGTTAGTTTATATATTTCTACTCATTTGTTTTCAAAGTATGGCTAGTTTTTATTATATGAAAGAGTTCTAATTAATTTTTTAGTCAATTGCTAATTATGATTAGTGTTTAAGATGAAACCGTTCTATATACATTTATATTTATTTTATATTTTCTTAAATTTTTTATAATTTTACCTTCTTTTGATATTTATTTCTATTATAATGATTTATAAAATACGAAAAATCAAAGATCATGGGGCATACGGCCAACGCCTCGGGGAGAAAACACCTTGTTTTGTGCCCGCGATTTTTAAAATACTGCCATTTGGAGAAGGGTGGATTTATAGAGTTGACAAAAAGATATTGAGAAATAGTTATTTTATTTCATGGAAAGATAGTTCATTTCTTATGTTACAAACAAACTCACAATCTAACATCATTTTCTACAACATTAATTTCGACCAAACAAAACCAGACATTGGAGGTTGAAGTGAAGATGGTGGGTCCAAATGCCATGATTAGAGTTCAATCAGAAAATGTGAATTACCCATCAACAAGATTGATGTGTGCACTTCAAGATCTTGAACTTCATGTCCACCATGCCAGCATCTCAAGTGTCAACAACATTTTGCTTCAAAATATAGTGATTAGAGTTCCTAAGGAGTTGAAAACTGAAGATGGATTAAGAGCTGCTCTTCTTAGAAGCTTAGAGCAAATAGAGGCCTGTTGATATATAATTGCCTTATCTTGTCGTTTAGTTTTGAGCATGTACATATTTCTTTTGCCTTTTCTTCCTTTTTAAATCTTCTTCTAGCTATTAACTAATATCCGTATGTATCCATTACCCTATTTCTTTTCAATAACGCTGTGAGCCTGTGACTATGTTTTACTGAGCCGAAAATCTATTGGAAACAGTCTCTCAACTTTCACGAGGTAGGGTGAGGTATGCGTACACAGTATCCTCCGTAAACTTCACTTATGAGATTACACGAAGTTTATTGTTGTTGTTATAGTAACTAAAATCCTTCTTTAATATCTTGCGTTTGTACTGTAATTGTGTAATAATGGTTTTTTATGAGATAGCCAAATCCTTGTATAGTAAGCTTTGGTCAAATTAATGGGATGCACATTGCTGCATATTCTTATGTGGCTTTTTTTAATTCGGATACTAAAATTAAACGAGCACGCGGTGTAAAAATTACGATGGTCGAGTCATGTCATTTTTTGTTTAATGATCTACTGTTCGGAAATATATATTGCAGTGAGGTGATTAGGTAAGACATGACACAAATTTAGCTTACTGAGAATATGACCATTGACAGAATGGTATGGAGGTCGAAGATTAGGGTATAAGGCTATGACGTAATTGATTTATTCTTTTGCCATACCGGTGCCAGTAGCATTAGTCTTGTATTTTTGTTTGTAGAGTTATATTTGTACATGTTATTTTTTTGCTTCAGTTATTTTACTATATCACTGTTGTTACTGCAGCTTGTTGCTACTGCTCCTTTTCATTTTGTCCTTGAGCCGAGGGTCTTCGAAAACAACCTCTCTACCTCCACATGGTGGTAGTAAGGTTTGCGTACACACTACCATTGCAAGACCCAACTTGTGAGATATACTGGGTATCTTATTATTGTTGTCAATATACTATCCGAAACTCACTAGTTCAACTAATTTTTGAATTCATGCCGCATGAACCAACTGAGAATGAAGCGCTTTCAATCAGAGATTTTCCTCAATTACAAGGATTCAAACTCGAAACCTCTGATAATATATGTCTATCTTACTTGTTTATCTTGAAACGATTTTAACTTATATGCATTAATACTGCAAAATATTTACACACATATGGTTAAATTGTGAAAAACAACATGTAATTACAACAACAACAACTCAGTATAATTTTACTAGTGGGGTCTTGGGATAGTAGTGTGTACGCAGACCTTACCCCTACCCTGGGGTAGAGAGACTGTTTCTGATATACCTTCGGCTCCCTCCCTCCAAGAACTCCCCACCTTACTCTTGGGGTGACTCGAACTCACAACCTCTTGGTTGAAGGTGAAACTCACAACCCCACATGTAATTGTTTATAAATAAACCTAATGTCGTAACTTTAAAGATAAAATAAACGTGGCCTGCTTTAATAGGTAAAAGTACATTAATACTAAATTTTTAACAGTAAACTATCAGCTAATAAATCGTCCAGGAATATATTCGCATGGATTCCCTCATTTCTACGGAAAGACTGAGGTATACGGCTATTGTCACATGCAATCCTGTTACCCGTGACCCCGCCATTACTACAAATGTGAGGGGTCGTTTGGTCGGAAAGAAGTTATTCCAGGATTAATTATTATGGTATTAGTTATTCTATTTTTTAATGGGGATAAAAAGACACTACAATTCTTCGGAATTAATTATACCGTATTTGTTTACCTACCAAACATGAAATAAACTCTTCTTAAATTTAATTCGGAGATTAATTATTGCTCATCTCTCGTACCAAACGAGCCGTGATTAATCATATATACCTTTCTTTCTTTTACTACTAATGTTTTTCCCTGCCAAAATTTACTCTTCTATTTTATTTTATGTGATATACTTTTTTTAAAATATATTTTATTTTTTTCTTCAGACACGATCTAACTTTAAAACTTCTCATTTTATCGTTCATTAAATTTTTATAATACATATTCCTTCCGTTTCAATTTAAATGATACACTTTTTTTATTAGTATGTTCCAAAAAGAATGACACATTTCTATATTTAGAAACAATTTAACTTTAAACTTTTCATTCTACCCACTTTACCCTTAATGAGAAGTTTTTATAGTTACACAAATACTATGGCCCCACAAAGCTTTTATCCCTTAAGCCTTTAGGACTACATGTTTCAAAAGTCTTCTTCTTTTTCTTAAACATTTTGCAAAGTCAAGCTAAATCATCTATATGGAAACGAAGGGACGTGTCTTGACATTTTAAAACCACATATCCTAAGGGTGTGTTTGGTATGAAGGAAAATATTTTCCCATTTTTCACTGTTTGGTTGCACAAAATAGTTTGAAAAATATTTTTCTAGATATCACATTTTCCTGAAATTGAATGAAAATAACTTCCCTATAAAAAGTTAGGAAAACAGTTTTCAAAAACTCCACCTACCCTCACATTTAACTCAACCCCCTCCAACTTTAATTTTCAATTTTTTTCGTTTTTTCGCGCCACCCCCACCCCCCGCAATTTTAAAAAAAAATATTTTCAGTTCTGATTTTTTCATTTTTCAGTTTACAGGTTCGAAATTTTACGAGTTCCAAAGTTATGAGTTTGGAGGTTTATGTGTCTGGAAGTTTGCAGGTTTAAAAATTATAGAGTTTTCGGATTTGAAAGTTTAGTGATTCAGAAGTTTATGAAATTTGTGGGTTCGGAAGGTTGGTGGTTCGAAAGTTTATGGTTTCATGTTTATTGTATCTAAATTATTTATGAATACTCTTGAGAAATTATTTTCCTTAATTTACGTACCAAACACCGAAAAATGAGTAAGATTACTACTTGTTTACCAAAAAAATATTTTTCGTTATACCAAACACACTCTAAAAGTTTTGTTTTTTTTTTCTTGAACTCTATGTCTAGATAAACACTCACACGAAATGAAATTAGGGAGTAAGACAAGGGAGTAGTCACATCACTAGGTAATAGTCCCCATTTAAGTTGGCCATCCATATTATGTGTTCATTCTACTTATTAACGTTAACCCTTTCTAACAAAAATCAGAAGTAGGTTAATGTTATAAAATATAGCTCAAAGTAATAATATAGAATAAGGAAAAACAAGCTAAGAGATATAGAGAGAAAGAGAGGAGAGATTATTATTTTTTCTTCAATTGTGTGTTCTTTTCATCTATTACAAGGCCTTTATATAGGCATAAAAAATAAAGAAATATGTCATTGAATATATCATTAAGCATTTGAGATCATGGAGGCAGATCATGGGGAGGTTATATCATAATTCCATAAGTATTATAGTAGTGAAAGTTATGGAGATAATGGAGAAGAGTAGTGAGCATTACTCCTTTGGTGGTTCTGGACATCCACCATAATTCAAGATTTTATAACACTCCCTTTTGGATGTCCATAGATAATGTGCCTCGTTAAAACCTTTCTAAGAAAAAGCCTTATGGGAAAAAAAATCCTATTGAAAGAAAAAGAGTACACATATCATGTAATACGCGTTGCTTGCTGCCTTATTAAAAACCTTGCCAGAAAAATCCAGTGGGATAAAATCGTAGCTAAGGAAAAAAGAGTACAACGCGTATTTGCTTCCCCCTGATGAAAACATCAATTTATTTCACTTAGATGATGTGTTACGATCATGTATACGAACTTCTTAAATGTTGAGGTTGATCATGCTTCGTTGAATAGAATCACCAAATTATCAAGCGAACAAATTTATTGAACATCTATTTCACCGTTCGGTGAAGATTATGTCTAATAAAGAACTTTGATGAAATATATGATTTATTCTGTCTCCTTCAATATATCCTTCTTTCAATTGAGATAAGCAAACATCATCATCTTCACTATTATTAGAGTCTTCTCTTCAAAGTAAAGTCATACACCGGTTGTGTGTTGAGTGACTTGATTAATCAGTTGCTAGTATATTGACATTGTTGAATAAGTATCAATAATTGATTTCCTTGTGAAATAATAATATGGCAGTGCCCTCACATACAAATAGATTGTTTGAAGAACGAACTTCAGAAAATGCTTGCATTTGCATAACCAATAAAACTTTGGCAATATTTGTTAGAATAAAAAAATCTATATCAAGGATTCCTTTTGCAATATAATCCTAATAGTATTCCAATATCTTCATATAGGAATAAAACTATATCTTGCTTGCATATTGTTGTGTTCATAGTTCTAGCAAGATACATTAGTGCACCAATTATACTAGACACAAAAACAAATCGTGTACGCCATGATCGCTCTAATTCACATAAGAATTTTCTGAAGCTTTATTTAATAAATTTTTTGAGAACCTTAATATGCTTCAGAATAATTTAAATCCTTCAATGATTTCCATTATACGCATATCAAGTTTTTCATGTATTTCCAGATTAAAACCTGAAATGACTACATCCACCACAAAAGAACACGTCTCCATATAAACAATGCTAGGATATTTATAAATCTTCTTGTGTCACAAGTCGTCTTTATGTCTATCTATCGCGACCCGAAATTTTCCACCGACGGGACCGTGATGGCACCTAACATTTTACTTGCTAGTCAAGTCAACGTTAGAGAATCATTAACCAATTCCTTATTTCCATTCAGTAATTAACAATAATTAACTAAGATGAAATATAATAAGTGCGGAAAATCATAAATCTGTATTAACTACTACCACCAGGATCTGGAGTCACAATTCACGAGCATTCTAGAATTTGCTACAAGTAATAGTCAGAAAGAAATACAACTGTCTGAATGAAAGAAACAGTAGAACAGAAAAGATAGACAGGGACTTCAAGGTCTGTGAACGCCGACAGATCTACCTTGAGTCTCCGGACAGCGGACCA